GTCCCGGGCTGCCTTTTGAAATTTTCTGTTTAGCTCTTTGATTTCTTCCTTTAGCTTTGGCTTTTCAGCGCTCTAATGCAATATTCAGAGTCTCATCTGACATCCACCTTGGTCTTGTCTTCTTTTTCAGCCTTTTAAGCCTTTGTAATGATCTTTTGCATCCTTCATGGACTATTTTCTTGATATCCTTCCAGAGCTCATTTGGCCTACGCTCATTGGTGCCCAAGGCCTCAAACCTGTTCCTGAAATGGTTTTGGAATTCGAGTGGGATAGACTTAAGATCAAATTTTGTTTCCCGTGGACTTGATTTCATTTTCCTCAACTTCAGCTTGAACTTACATATGAGTAGTTGGTGGTCTGTCCCACAAGCAGCACCTGGCCTGGTTTTCACTGCTGATATTGAGCTTCTCCACCAAGTCTTTCCACAAATGTAATCTATTTGATTCCTATGCATCCCATCAGGTGAAATCCATGTATATAGCCTGTGTTTATGTTTCTTATAAAAGGTAATGGTTAGAGAGCTATCAAAGATATAATATTAATGGATAGATTAATTGTTGTTTTGGGGCACCATAGAGTCAAAACTGACCCATAGCTGACCCTCTGGCAGGTTTTCAGAGGCAGTTAATTGCTTGGGAGGACATTGCCCATCCTCCCACAAAGTGGCTTGTGGCCTCAAACCACATGCCTTTGGGGTTGGTTGCAGCGCCGCTTCTTGCCACTAAGCCACCAGAGACGCCTAGAATAGATAGCAAAGGAATTAAATTTGTGAAACTAAGCTTTGAACTTTGAGATGTTTGCCTGACAAAGAAGAGAATAAGAACTGAATCAAAGAAAACAATATATGCAAAGACAGAGTATGAATGTGTACAATATTGCTAGCAATAGTAAAAAGAACACTTTGAATCAAATATGTTGTTGTTGTTGTGTGCCCTTGAGTTGGAAATGACCCATAGAAAACCATCCAGTGGGTTTTCAGAGGCAGTAAAAGGCACAGGAGACTGCCCATCTTTCTCCTGCAGAGCAACTGGTGGATTCGAATCACATACTTTTGCACTGGCAGCACAGCTCCTCACCCCTGGGCCACCAGAGCGCCTTCTGACTTTAACAAAGTATTGGAAAACAGGAGCTTTAGACAAACGTGCAAGAATTTATGTCCCAAAAGAAATTTATACATTGTTGGTGGGATTGTAAAACAGTACAACCCCTCTGGAAGGCAGTTTGGTGCTTCCTCAAAAAGCTGAGCATAAAAACAAATGATTGTTTTATAGATGCTGGGAAAAAGAATTTTCAGCAAAGTACAAAAATTTAAAGCATTCCTTTCTTTAATTTTGTAATTCTTTACTGTGGAGTAGCTCAGAATGTCACTTCTGTTTTAGGTAGTAGAATTGATAACTGTGCAAGGAAACATAATTTGGTTTATAAAAGTCTTGCTTTAATAAAAATTTCTTAAACTGTTAAGAAAAAGCTGAACATAGAAATTTTGTATGACCTAGATCTCATTGCTTGGAGTATATCCCAAGAAAATGAGAACTGAGGTTCAAATGGAGACTTGTACACCAATGTTCATAGCAGCATTATTACCATCGCAAGAACATGGAAACAGCCCAGATATCCAACCATAAATAAATGGATTGAGAAGTTGTGGTACATTCATACAATGGAAT